GGGAAACCTTTCCCAGAGTGAACCCAAGAACCCCACACTAATGGCAAACCGATATCACCTAAGAGCCCTCTTAGTTTCCTGTCTGTAAAATGATACTTGTCACAGAGCTTTGCAGTGCACATCAAAAGAGAAATGGAGAATATCTGCAGAGGGTGCAGAGCAGATTCTCTTACTTTCTCACTTGTTAGAGGGGGCAGACATTTGGCGCAGTCCTCACTTGATTGATACGGGAGCTGTCAGCAGAGGACTGCTTGTTTACCCTTCCAGCCTCGAGGCCACTGCTGCCTATTCGCAGTCATTGTGAAGGTTTCTTTTCCCCCTTTCCCTGCACAAGCATGGCTGGGGCAGCAATCAACAGCCTTCCCAGGCAATCGAAACTGAAGGAGAACACCAGCTGGCAGAGCCCTGTCTGAGAGAGCATCTTCCACATCCTTCCAGTACTTGTGAAACACACAAGGATTCCAGGCTCCCTGGTTATCCCTCCCCACCCCAGGGGTGACCCAGTAGAGTATCAAAGTGTTGGGTCTCAGCTGGATCTCCAGATATAGCACTGCAGGGGCGTGTGGGGGGGTGGGCAGCGAGGAGGTGCTGCCCCCAACCAGCCTCCTTCCTTCCCTGCTGTGCGAACCCACATATCACTTGTGGCTGTGAAGATTGGGAAGTTTGGTGGATGAAAAATGAGGATGGGAGGGAGATGTATTAATTTCTCTGACTCACGTCAAAATGTTAGGGGATACGGATGCTTTTCCCTATCAAACCTATCTATGCATGGCAACATGGTAGTGATTAAAAAGCATACCTCTTTGAGGAAGAATAATCACTTTGATATTCTGACTGTGTTGTTTAGTAGCCTATCTTTCTTTTGATACATTCTTTGCTGTTGACCTTGTTTTTCTTAAACTGTAAAATGAGGGTAACGGCAGTTAACTCAAAAAACTGTTTTAATCTAAATGCAATAATACATATAAAGTGCTTAGAATAATGCCTAACAAATGCTGTGCACTCAATAAATAGTGTCCTTGTAGAAAATCACTGTATCCTTGAGCGAGAAGAACTTGGCTTTTGAAGTCCTTTATCTAAGATTCTTTAAGACAGCACTGGTACAATTTCTTCCCAGCTGGCATCCCTGTGGTCCTTAAGCTCTTTCTTCTATATATATTTTTTTTGTCCCTGGAGATGACTGAGGTTTAAAGTTATATGTATCTTCTTCTTCTTCTTTTTTTTTTTTTAAAGCAATCAATACCCATTACATATAGCTCACCATCACAGCTTTTCTGCAGAAAGATGTTAATGGATTCTGTCAAGATCATAAGACAACCACTTCCCTACGTAACAGCTCTTAAGTTTCCTAAAAGCCCGGCCATCAAAAAGTGATCAGGAAGCTTCCAATAAGCTCGAGTCTAATCAATATTGTTCACTCCTTGGTGGTGATTAGTGGAAGGACATCAATTGTCATCAGTGGTCCATGGGAAAGACACATTTACTGCCGCGCTTTTCCTGACATTTTCCATCCATTATCCCTCCCCACGGAAAGCCCCTCACGCTTGCATGGCAAGTTTGCTATCCTTCAGAAAAAGTAGTAAACAGATAATGTAAAATTAAAACAAAACTCCAAACTAGATTCCAGCCAGTGTTTTCAGGAGATTGGGTTTTGGGGAGCTATTTAGATGTCAATTATAAGAAAAATGAACTTCTGAACTGAGGATAAATAAGGTCTTTATAATTTTAAATCCCCAAAGTGTTCAGATTGTGTGTCCAGCTCCCACATTTCGGGGGGGGGGGGGACACAATCTGTGTACCTCAACCCATGATCCTGGCAGAGAGGGATGTTCTGTGTGGTCATACTCCCCTAGATTTATATCATTAATAGCAAAGAATGGAATCGAAAAAAATTTCTTAATAACTTTATTTAAAGCATGTTGAAGGACGATCTGACAAAGATAACATTTACCGTTTTCCGGCTCCCAGATTTAGCTTGCTATGTGGCCACCTAGTGGTCATTCTAGGAACTTCACTGATGGGTTTGGGTGCGGACTGACCTGCCACACGTTTGCATTTCTAAAAAGGAAGGGCTCACTTTTCTTTAGACTGTGACTTCCAATTTTAGCTCATAAATTGTGCCTTTTTAATTCCATAATCATTGGACAAAACAGATGCGTCAAGAAAAAGGCAACGTAGCGATGGAGCTGTTTGATATTTGGAAATAATCCATACAGTACTGGACCCTCAGGACTGCAATCATGCAGAACTGACATAAATATCCTTGGGAGCCCTTGATACGCCAGCATTTAGACAATATGTTACAGTGAATTTGGACTTTGATGTATTATTCTGGGTGTTTTTATTACTATTATTATTTGACTTACCCAAACTTGAACTATAAAATCTGTTCTCTCCCTCCATATCCACTGAGTCTGTGAGCTACGCTCACTCCTGAGTCTGTGAGCTACGCTCACTCCTGCTGTTATCTCTACTCAGGTTTGATTCTTATTTTACATTTTACATATTTTATACTGTTTTCTAGGGTCGCCTTGGGTCTGCACTGCTCAGTGGTCAGTGATTTGGGCAGAGGTTTTGCTTGAATTTCCAGAGACTTCCACTGTCGACGGAGGTGTGTGTTATGAGCATGATCAAAACTCAGCCATTTTCATCGGTCTGTTGTGCTTTCCTTCCTCTGTGCTCTCTCACCCGTGAAGGTGATGCCAGAGATGTGCGGAGACCTTGCCAAACCTGCCAGGCTTCCCTCACCCCCGCTTCTCCTCTTCTTGTTTCTGACTGCTCCTGGTTTTGACTGGTTCTGACTGGTCTCTTTTCTGACTCCTGCCCTCTCTGCCCCAATAGCCCTAGACTCAGGTGCATCTTTGTCCATGTTCCCTGTAGGTATTTTATCTTATGCAATATTTGGATGCCTCCTCCACAGCCCAATTTAGTTCACTGAACATCGATGTATATAAGTCCGCGTGCGCGTGCGCACACACACCCGATAAAAGGTCTTAGAAGAGGCAGTAGATATGCTGGTGTGATGGACCTGAAACTCAAACTTCTTTGGTTTCTGAATAAATATGCCTGTCTGCCTCTGTCCACAGCAGATGGCACTTGACCTGCAGCAGAGGGCTGCCTGGTACTTCCTGACACAACACAGTAGAGCTTACTGTTCGCTCCGCCCCAGAAGCGCACCTGCCTGCAGGCAGCACAGGCCGAGGGCTCAGCTAGGGAGGATGGGGGTATTTCACAGTCACTGCCCTAAGAGGGCTCAGGCTGCCGAAGCCCAAGTAGCATTGGTTCCCCTGCCATGCCCAAGTAGCATTGGTTCCCCTGCCATGCCGCCTCAGGGTATGCGAGCTACTCTGGCAAGGTTGCCTTGTGCTGGAGCAAGCTTGGGCAGAGGCCTCAAGGGCCAACCCAGAAACCACAGTCTGCAGGGACCCCACTGGGCCCGCTCTAGCGCGTCAGCTCCCTCTAGCGGCAGGCAGTGGCCCAACAAGGTGGATTCCCAACAGAGCCCGCTGTGAAGCAGATCTGGGATCCTAACCCAGTACCTCCAACCCAACCACACCGCCCCAACTCTCCTCCCCCGCGCCCCCACCACACCACACACATTGCTAAACCGCTGAAGGGGTCCGGGGTGCAGAGCGCCTCTAGCCCTACTGCTACTGCCAGCATTCCGGGCCGCCCCCCCACCCAAGTCCTCCGCTGTAGTCGCTGGAGTGGGCCTTGGGAAGGGGCCCAGGCACCAGCAAAGCCAGCCCTGCCTGCAGTTTAGGCTTCTGGGAGAGCAGGATTTGCTCCAAGTCTTGTGCCTCTGACCAGGTTACACGGTGGACATCAGGGGACTTTGCTTTATTTAGTGTGTGGGGGAGGCGGATTTTCACATATTTACATTAAAAACTCTAAAACAGTAGCATTTTCCACTTTAAGCACACAGATTTTCCAACATTCTTTCTTAAAGGAATAGTCTGTATGGAAACAGCAGTGACAGCAGTGACCACCAGGTGGAAAGTGCTGAGTCACTGTTCTCCTTGTTAGTCTCTTCTCCGGAAGGATGAGTCAAGCTGTCAACAGAACGGCAGCCCTTTCACCGAGGACAGCCCATCGCCTTTCCCAATTTTGCAGCTTTATTTAATTGAGAAAATTTGCAGTTAGCAATTGCAAGCTTTATTTCAATAAATGAGAAATAATTGTGCATAGCTTTAACAGTTAAAAAGAAAATCAAAACAGAGTTGAGAGACTTCTGAAATAATTGTCAGGACACCCCACACAGCATAATCAGCTGGCAGGGAGCAAGGAGAGATCACAGAAATTACACAAAGCCCTCTACTGTGAGGCACTCGGAAGCTATTCATGGGAATTATGAGTATCTCCTCTCAACTAGAATCAATTTTCTGAAATTCTTGCAGTCCTCTGACTTCTCTGTGAGGGTTTAAGAAATTCTAGGCATTTAGGAATTTAGAAAAACCAAGAGTATTTCAGGTCCTTCTTTGCTGCCATCATGACTCTATGTAGATAACGTGCCTATTTAGATGTCTTTAGCGGTATGGAATGAGCGGCTAGCCCTCCACCCTTCAGTTAAGTATTGGAATCAAATGCATTGATTGTCTTGGCATTTTTGCAGGAGGAAATTCCACACGGACCAGAATTAGTGCTAATAAGATTTTGTTCAGACTAAGATAAATGCTTTTATGCTCCTCAAAAATTAAACTGTTATAAACAATTTTTTTTCTTGTACTAAGGATTGTAATTTACCATTCTCAAGTTGTTGACTATTTTTTTTAATGCACCTGATTAACATTCTGTGGGAAAATACTAGCACAATGATACTTGATTTTTATGTTGATCTAAAAAAGCATCTGGAAAACTGTAAGGATTTCTTGGTAACATGCTGTGCATTTTATAGGCAAATATTTCACTAAGAAATTATTTCTCCTAAACATTTTCTCTATGGATAAGGCATATTGGAAAATATACAGAAAATTGTGTAGCAGGATCAAGAGAAGACTGTGACCATCTTGCGTCCAAATCTTCAACCAAGCTTTGCACAGCCATTTTGGATATCCAGTTTCAAGCTCTAAATAGAAACAAATAGTTAAAAAATAAGTGGTTTTCTATAAAATCTATAAGTATGTTGTGCTTCAGCTACTCATTGGTATGTACTAATTACTAGTAACTTTTTAAAAACAATATAATAGCTTATTTTTACATCATTTTGTGCATTTTTCCATCTCAGTTGTAATCCCCGTGGGCTTCCCATCACCAAATCACCCATGTGCCGTCACCATAGCCCAGTGCATTTCCTTCCCCCCACTGTTTTTGATCCCATCCCCCACTCCACCCCCATAAAATGTCTCCTAGTAACTTTTATGGATTATGTTGCATTACCTTTTTTAAAGATCTCATCTGTGGCAAATTAAGCAATTATTATAAAATGAACAAGGCTATCACAAAAGGAAGGCAGCCATTTTGTTTTCTCTGCAGAATGCCGGCCATATGCTTGCACCAAGAGTATCTCTGCAGTCCCTGGTTTGAGGCAGGTTCAACCCGGTGGCGCTCAAGCTGTGTTAGAAATGCCCTTCTTTCTCTGTCCCTACTGGGAAAGACTATTGGGCAAGATTCCTTATACAAATGCTTTGAAGGGGGTTGCTGTGTATTATCTCTGTGCAAATATCAATGAATGGATAAATGAAAAAATACAAAACCTCTGAAAGGTAGCCAAACAATACTCCCTTTTAAAAAAATCACAGCTGGCCCTCCCTGGTGGCGCAGCGGGTTAAAGCACAGCACTAAGAAGCTTAAGCCACTTCCACATGAGTTCGATCCCCGCCTGCCCTAGAGGTGACCTACATGGCCCGGCAGACCCCTCCTGACCCACCCGCTGCTCCCCTCAGCAGTGTACTTCGTGGATCTGCCAGTTCTGTTCCCCACTCTGTCCCTGGTGAATCCTCTGACCCTCCGCATCTCTGGCCTGTACCCCAATTCTGTATGAATAAATAAATAAATAAATCTTTAAAAAAAAATCGCAGCTGTTGGCTAAACTTTCTAGCACAGGTGCTGTAATTCAGAAGTAAAACCATCCCTCAGATCTAGGTACTTACTGATTTGGTAAGTGAAAACTTTGATAAAGCAATCATGAAAAAAACCCACTTCCTCAGAAATGTTATCTTTTCTGGAATTACCAAAACTAGTCTCTCCTTTACAATGTTTTAACGGAGCCCACTTAACTGTATACATACAGTGACCTAAAAACATTTGAGAAGGAAATTTGGTTTCTGTTGCTCTTTCGAGAATGTGTCAAGACTGAGTGCCAGCAAGTTCTCTGGGTCAGGGTGAAAACTCTGGAATAATGGCCTTCAGATTAACTGTCAGAAATTTTTGTATCTGTTTGATAAAGCCAGAATCCAGCAAAGATCAGGCAAAGAACACAAAAGGAGGCTAACGTTTAAAGTTTTTAAAAAGAAACCCCTCTTGGCCCTCCCTGGTGGTGCAGCGGGTTAAAGCACAGCACTGAGAAGCTGAAGCCACTTTTACATGAGTTCAATTCCCTCCTAACCCTGGAGGTGACCACATGGCGTGGCAGACCTCTCCTGACCCGCCCGCTGCTCCCCTCAGCAGTGTACTTCGTTGATCTGCCTGTTCTGCTCCCCACTCTGTCTCTGGTGAAGCCTCTCGCCACCCCTAAGCCTCTGGCCTGTACCCCAGTTCTGTATGCATAAATAAATAAATCTTTAAAAAAAAGAAAAGAAACCCCTCTGACTCAGGAACTTACCAATTTGGCATTTGGGTTAAACTCTGCTGTTCCTCTCAGATCATTACTTGCAGGACTCTGTAGTAAAGAGAGGACAACGTCATGTGGGAACTGCGTGCCACGACACACCAAATCACACAGAGCCTCTCCCTGACTCACGAAAAATCTAAATTTATAAAACACTTTGGGAGAGTGGTTAGTTTTGGTTAAGTGAAGTGTCTTCAGAAACCATTTGTTCCTTGTAACTCCTGTGAATCTCTCTGACACTATATTTGTTAAGAGATTAAAAAAAAAAAATCATGCAATGAATTTTTTCAATAATATATTAAAGTCCCAGTAAATACAGGTTCTAACAATAGACCACACTGGTTGCATGTGGTGTAGGGAGATGTGTCATCGCACCCTGAGCAGGCTGTACAATGTGAGATCTTTTTGTGTGTGTAAGAGGGTTCTGTAGAACCACAGACAGCATTATGTTAATCATACTCTTTTAGTCTTGAATAAAGGAGGCCTAATGGCGGTCTCCCTGGCACCCTAAGGGTAAAGTCTCAGCCTACCACCACAAAGGCCCAGTGTGACAGGCCTGAGTTCGACCTGGCCAAGGAGCTGACCCACATGGCGCAGCACACCTCTCCTGACCCACCCACTGCTCCCCTCAGCAGTGTATTTCAGTCAGTCTGCTTGTTCTGTTCCCCGTTCTGTCTCTGGTGAACCCTTTTACCCCGACCTCCCATATTTCTGGCTGCACCCCAGTTATTCTACGTAAAAATAAATAAAATAGTAAAAAATGAGAGAAAGCATAATGAGAATTGTTGATTAAAGAAACATGTAGCTGAGAATCTTGGTGCTTTCAGAGTCCAGTTCTGGGGAAGGTGAGCTGTGCTACGTGATGGTAAAGGCACAGAGGCAACAGAGTGGCTCAGTGGGTCAGGTGATCCCAGAAGCCATTTAATATGGTTGGTGGGATGCAGTCTGTAAGCATTTGTGCTAATTGGGCTAATTTGTACCTCACAGAAATACTGACTGCAGGTGGTGGGAAGCCCTCAGGCCCTCACTGCAGTTCCTGTGTTAGGACCCAGGAGCCAGAACCCCGCCTAGGTGAGGGAAGAGAGCGTTTGTCTCAGGAGCACCATGTAAAGGGCACAAACAACTTCAGTAATCAAGGGAAATAATGTCACCAAATTGCTGTAATCATCAAATTATTTTCCAAGCATTCACAACAAACACAGCGTCAGTATTTCAAATAAAGACGGTCTCTGTGCACTTTCCTGAAGTAGAAAGTGCCTTTATTTCTGCTGCAAATAAAAGCAGTGTTATATTATTGGACCTTTTCAAGGAACAAGTGAATGTTTTAGTGGCATCGAAATTATCACTGAAATGGGCTGAACGAGCACCACCAACCCACAGAGGAGGCGGGGACCATACCAGTGTGATGTAGTGAGGACTTGAAAAGCTGGTTGGAAGTCTCTCTAAAGACTCAGCAGTTCTTCGCTGGTGAAAAGAAATATGATTAGTCTACAGTTAGTATTCAAGCAAGCATGACTACTTCCCAAATCCATAAAATAAAATTTCCAACTACCTCTGGAATACAGTTCTAGTAAATGTACAGATATTAAAATAGAGGCAAACAATATTCTTCCCTCGGTGGTTTACTTGTCACAGGTGAGTCTATGACGTGAGCACACACCTGCGAAGAGTGAGGTTCTTTAGGAAGTAAAGGCAGCCTGTCTGAATGCCTGAAATGCCACAACCAGCTACATTGTTTTATATGGTGATGATCTGGATTTCCAAGGAGAAACTTCAGCACTTGCTATTCCAGTACAGAGAGCGTCTGGCTGAGATTAATGTTGTTAAAGTGCTTTCGGTTAGCTGCCAGCGGATGTGAACACAGCTAGCAAGTCTGGTCCAGTGGAAACAGGACAGAAGAGCACTGAGTGCCAGAGGAAAACAAACAATCCACATTAATTTTGCAGACCTTTCTGAAACTACAATTTTGCTGAGAACTGAGTTCTGATGTATAACTAATCTGACAACTATCAGCTAGGTCATTGTTATTTATATAATTTTATGATAAAAATACAATAACGCTAATGTGAGATTGGAGAGTCTCAATTCTCCTGTAAGTGTACTACCCCATCAGAAATGAAGTAAAGTTACTCATATTGATAAATAAGTATTAAAATCTGATGTTCCTTCATTTAACAAAAAGACAATGCCTTTAAGGACCCCTATCCTATAAATGTAACAGATATGTCTTAGATCCTCTTTGAAACTTCTGGCTGACTCTGTGATTATTCATTTTGATCACATGCTCGGGCAAACATTTTGTGGCTCGTTTCTCTGGGAGTGCAGTTGTTTTGCATCTTAATTTAAAGAAAATACAATTAAGAAAGTAGCTGTCACGGCCCATGAGTCTTAGTAGATAATTAACACATATCAAGAACTAAATATATACCAAGCACTGGGCTAAGTCTATAAACATTCAGTGTCCTATCTAAACTTCAAGGCAACTTAGAGACTGGTACTAACATCTTCTGGTTTTACAAAAGAAAATGTCAGTGTAAACTTAGACTATCACATGATATTGTCTGTCCATTTGAGTGGACAATTAAGACTTGTTTTTACCATCTTGGGTTACCACTAGCATACAAGTGATAATGAATAGGAATGATAAGTCCAACCAAGGGAAGATGAACTGTCCACTTCTAAATTCTCAAGGGGGAGCATTTCTGTAACAACGCCACAGATGTGTGCCTAGGATGGCGTGGGCACACGCTGCAGTGATTCCAGTGAAAAGTGCAGGGTTTGGGAGACATGCAGCATTGGAGCAAAACAGTCAAAGCCTCTGGAGCCACGCGCCAAGGCCGGCGGGAACGCAAACACAATTTCTAAATGCTTGCGACATATTTGCCTTTGCATTGCTTCTAGTACTGGCCAGTAGACAACAGGAAGCTTTAAGCCTTCTGCACCCCTCTCAAGGGGAATGAGGTGGCCATTTTCATTGGTACAAGCTTAATGAGAACACTTTCTTCATCATTAATTTTTTTTTAGATTTATTTTATTTATTTGTGCATACAGCACTGGGGTACAGGCCAGAGGTGCAAGGGCTGTAAGAAGATTCACCAGAGAGACAGCGAGGAGCAGAACAGGCAGGTCAACAAAGTACACTGTGATTGTAAATCTTTTGTCAGATTTACACATAAGAACTTCATAATTTTCATGGTATGATAAATGGTATATTGTTACTTCATTTTATTATTGTTCATTGCACATATGCAAAAACACAATTTTTTTTAAAAAAGATTGTTTTTGCATAGAACTGGGGTGCAGGCTAGAGGCGTGGGGGGCATTGAGAAGATTCACCAGGGAGAGAATGGGGAGCAGAACAGGCAGATTGATGAAGTACACTGCTGAGGGGAGCAGTGAGTGAGACAAGAGAGGTCTGCTGGCCATGTGAGTTAGCTCCTGGGCTGGGATTGAACTCAGGTCTTTGTGGAAGGTCTTCATGTCGGTAGCATTGAGACTTAATCTCTAGGCCAGAAGGGAGGCCCCAAACACACAATATTTTTTTTGTGTTGATGTTATATTCTGAAATCTGACTAAATTCACTTTTACACACTAAGGAATTTTTTTGTAGATGATTATATCTTCTACAAATCAAAAGTTTCATTTTCTTTCCCACTTTTCCCCCTTTTGGTCTTACTTTAATGACTACAATCTCAAGTAAAATGTTTAGTCAAAGTCATAGGAGTTAGCAGTATCACTTTGTTCCTGATAGAAAGAAAAAGCATTCAGTATTTTTCCTCTGAATATGTGTGTTAGCTGGAGGTTGTAGGCCAGAAATGTGGGGAGTGAGAAGATTCACCAGAAAACAGAGTGGGGAGCAGAATATGCAGATCTACTGAAGTGCACTGCTGAGGGGAGCAGTGGGTGAGTCAGGGTGAGGTCTGCTGCGCCATGTGGGTCACCTCCCTGGCCAAGTATCCATCAAGCCCTAGGTGATAACTTGACAGCTGTGACTTTTACCCCTGCACAATCACAGATACCCCCAAAATCTTTCTGTTACCTGCTTTCAATATAATTTTATTTTGCGAGAACATTTTGTATGCTCTTCTAAATTAATTAAAACTTGCTTAATGTCCATAATATGTTTATGTTTGTAATTTTACCAATGACATATACAAATCAATATTTAACCAATATAATCTGCTCTGAAATAGAGCAGATTATTTCACCTTTGCTGGAGTCTTCCATTCTAATCCTCCCCCATGTTGTGAAGGTTTCATTGGTGGGATCACTTTCAGCTGTCCTCCTGCATCTCCCATCACACTTAGGGCTAGTTTCACTGGTGGGATCACTTTCAGCTGTCCTCCTGCATCTCCCATCACACTTAGGGCTAGTTATACTTCAAATAGACGTCTAACTATTCTTTAGTTGATTAAATTATTGCAAACGAAAGTTTCTTACATGGAAGGGATGAACATCTGGTAAGATCTGCTCAGACCTTATCTGCAGCTCATCACCAAAATATCCCTTATTCTCCACGCCCAGTGTATCTCCAGGTGGGCTGCCAGGGAGAAAATTGAACACTGAGACATGCTACAAGTTAGGTCTGTGGTTAATATTAAATCATCTAGAAGATTTTAAAAAATACTGCTTATATTCTATCACAGTTCAATCTGAGGGAAGAAAACAGCAGCGTTCTCTTTGAAACTCCCCCTTAAGTTCTCAGTGTGTGATGACGTTTGGTAGCCTTCAGGTCAACATTTGGATAAGAACAAAATATGCAGGAATTTGACGTACAGATGCTCTGGTCTGGATTCCAGGAGAAGACTTACTTTTCCCCATCAAGAATCCTCTGTGGCCTCAAGCATATCAATAGTCACTAACAGTCCCTTCAACACACAGCAACATACAGACATACCTCTGAACTTGCTTCAGCTTAATGCACTTTTGGTGATGAATTAATAATGCAATACTTCCAACACTAATAATAACCAGAACGAGCACAACCACCAAGATAGAGATATCTGCAAGAGAAAATCATGAGCTTGAGACAAGATGTGAACGTTAGGGCCCTGGAATGCTAATATTTTGCTGAACTGTTAGAAGTTTGCATTCTGTTCCTAAATGGACTTTAATTCCTCATATGCTAATTTTTTTTTATCTAAACTAAAAACTGGCTCTCCATCTAAAAACTGCAGGGAGCCACAACCAGCAGGAAAGATTTTGACTGACTGTCAGCTTCTGACTATAGGCATGGCCTTGCTGTGTGGTTCGTTGAAAACCTAATCCAAATTTAACTAGAACATATATTAATTCTTAAAAGCAATTGCAGTAAATACATATTTGGGCATTTAATACGCAAAATAATAAAAGTGTTATTCATAGAGAAACTCAGTAAATAAAGATTTAAAAAATGAGAAAAAAGCTTTCCCACTGGTTAAGCTGTTGAAATATGCAGGATAGTATAGCTTAGATGCTCACTGGTTACACTTATGCTTTCTTCCCAGTACGCAGGTGCTGGTTCTTCCTCACACCGACACTTGAGTTTATAGTCATCCACCTGGAGGAGAAGTCATGTTGATTTATCAAATGGTGGGTGTAAGCTATATTTTACACCTTAGCTAGCACACACAAACTTTCTATTCATTTAGTTAGCCAAGCTATATACCAACACGTTGTCTCCATATTGGAGACAAACAAACAAATCTGGAAGCGCCACTTTTGAAAATCATCTGAATCAGTGAAATTGGAAAGCAGGTGAACAGCTGGCTTACTTATCTGTCCAGAGGCACCGCACCACTACTAAGTGAACAGTTAGAAGCGGAACATTCCCAGCCATCCAGTGGACTCTAACAGGCTTACAGATATACCAGACACACTGATGTGGCAAGAAACGATGACTCTCCCAAGAGCGTTATGTAATCGTTAAGAACACACTCTCCTGGCTCAGATCCTGGCTTTCCTCCCACCTAGCGTCAATGTACATGACTCTGCATCTGTAAACGTGTTAGAACAGCACTTACTTTTTATTATTTTCATTTTACTTTACTTCTAAGGGGTATCTACCCTCATGAGTCTTAATTTATATACTTATTTTTCTACTGTTTCTACTTTTTGTTTTTACTAAGGTACTGAAATGTTTACAGCAATGTATAGGAGTCAGTGTATGTCGTCACAGCTCTTCAGATGCACTCATCTTTTGAAGTTGATAGGAAATTTACTTGAAAGACTATATGAAAAATGGACAGCTTTATCTATTCTACTCATTAATCAACCTTAGGGAAGGTGTTTCCACCAAAACAAACCACTAGCAACTGCGAGTAGTATTGGACAGTACTGAGTCAAAAAGGACTGACTCAGTATTGACATAGGTGTAATACTGACATTGGTGTAATTGAACTGCAAGTGAACTTACAATAAATCCAACTTTAAATTTTAGGTTAAACTTACATCTGTACACAAATTACTGATTTCCTAGATTACCAGTTCAATAAAAAAATTTATACCTATAATACCATGTGCAATACCTGATTTGATTCTTTGGATAAGTTTCAGTTAAATATGAAAAAAATAGATCTTAAATATAAATTTGATTTAAAAAATCACAATACAAACAGGACGAAGACCTAAGCACCTCAACTACTGGTTTAAAATGGAGTCAACCCTTACGGCATTGTCATCGCACTGAGAAGAGCAGTTGGTTGGACTGTAGACCTTCTTGATATCTACACATTCACTATCAATGCACACCTAGAAATGAAATAGCAAATATGAATTAGAATGATCTGTTTGATAATTCACAGTATTGTTTTTTTCTATTGTGAAAAACCACATGTAGACTTTTGCGGGGAGAAAAAAATCCTCAATGTTTGATGTGTATCTGAAAATAACGCACTGTACATTCAAACATGTTGTATACAAACTTGTTAGTTATTAAATTATCTATCTTTGTTAGCTCTTCCAGTTTTAATCTGTCATAGATACTACAACTATTACTATAACAAATTCTCCTGTTATTATGATAGCATTTCCTTTTGGTTTGATAAGGAAACATACTTAGTTGTTGATAGCAATTTGGTTGATAGCAATTTATCTTCTTGTGTTTATTACAGTGTCATTTTAATTAATGTCTGAATAAAAGCTTGATGTGTGTATATATATATATATATATATATATATATATGTAATTTTAATAAAAATATCCTTAAAAGAAACTGTTCTACTACTATATGATGATATTTTTAGAAGGAGTATTACCATAAATAAGTAATAAACATATCTTAACCATGGTTTATTTTTCAAATTCTATATAAACCAGCAATACTATGGAGGGTAGTGTTTCTGGAATTCAAATAAAGCAGTTTTTATACTGTCAACATTCTTTAGGATCTTATAAAATATAAATTTAACTTTATTTTTAGCACGACTTCCTTTTAAATGCATATCTATTTCATAGGAGTCCATCGTCTCTAAGCAAAGACTCGTCTTTGTAGTGAAATCTTTCATATCTTTGGTTTGTCCTCCTTGCTTATCCCTGTGGGATGGAAGAGGAATTTCATGGACATAACTCAACACAGGGCATGTTATTGCAAACATATGTTGGTCTTCCAGTACTTCAGGTCAACTAAAGGGAACCATTGTGATATATTTTATTTTGTTCCCTCCCATATAAGAACCTATACTTACTAATTCATTTTCAAATAATCCACGGCTTAAAATGTAATAGTCTTTCCTTATATGAAACAGCAAAAACACTGTCACTTGAGGTTGCCACCTTTGTGTATTTAGTAAAGGAGATCACTATACAGTTTTGCAACAACTCACATATTCTATTGATTACACTACTATGAAAAATACTTGTATCAGATTATAATGCTATATTTAATTAGTTCTATGAAATTCTCAAGTACATTCATCTTTGCATCATCTGTGTTCAGTGTCATCGCTGATACTATGTAGAAAACATGGTTGAGTAAAAAAAATAAATGAAAAATGCAAGGCTATTTCATAGTCAAGTAAAAGATTATGTCAAGGGCCCTGCATGGTGGCACAATGGATTGGAGTGCAGCACTGAGAAGCCATCAGCAGCCACTGCAGCACAAGTTCGATTCCTGGCCTGGAAGATGAACAACATAGCGTGGCAGACCTCTCCTGGCTTGCCCACTGCTCCCCTCAGCAGTGCTATTTAGGTAGTTCTGCCTATTCTGCACCCCATTCTGTCTCCCCACTCTCACCCCCCGCACCTTGGCCTATACCCTGGTTCTTGTATTCATGAATAGATAAATCTTTAAAAAAATATTATGTCAAGATTCTACTCAGTGATTACTATCTGATACTGATACCAATTAATTCCATTTATAAGATCTATATATTTTGTATAACAAAGATTAAGTAAAATGACATTTAGCACAGTGTTAATACTACTCTGTTCAAGTTTAAACAGTTCCCAATTTTTTGTCTACTTTCCCAGATAGGCCATCTGGAACCGATGATAGGGTCAGTGTTTTAATATGGTTGAGCCAAGAAGCTTTTACCATACAAGGGGCTTCCAGATTACCTTTCCCTCTCCACATTTAGTTCCAGGAGCAACCAGGTCAACATCTCTGTAATCGTGCTCTGAAAAGGCTTTGCATTCAGTGGTGCTATTCTGCTTTGCAACTGTCTTGAGGCGATGGAGCTCTTCTTCCTCAAAAAGAGGTGGGTGCTGTTTTCTGGTGCAGTGTATTTTTCCACATTTGACATCTCTGAAAGAAAGGGAGTGTGTCTTTATAGGGACTAGAAATAGAACTGCAGAGACTAAGCTGACTGAGAAGCAGCCAGGTCACATATTTCTAGAGTTAGACTTGTCCATAGGCTGTGGAGGAAGCCAGGGAGCAGGGTAAATTATTACACGAAGTCCTGATCCTGGCACATGAGATGGTAGGTAAAAATGTACAATAATTGTATTTCTCTATGACATCCTTTAATTCTCACAAATCAATATTAGCTCAAAGTTACAGACAAGTTTTTCTTATTCATGGTTTAATTAGCATAACTCTAATCAAGTCTCGTTAGTTGATTCAGACATAAACCCACGTTGTTGTGATTCTAAAACCCCTTTTGCAGATTAAAGAGCATTTGGAAGTAAGGGATATTAAGAGACCGCTGTTTTCACCTAGTATATTTAGATACAAAGTTGATTTTGATCATAGGTTTTGTTATTGTTTTCAGTCCAAATCCTGTTTTGACACACAAAACCCTTGCAGAATACTAGTAACAAATCTGATATAGCTCTTGCTTTTTAAAATTTTTTGACTTCCATTCCTCCTGCTCTCTTCCAATTTTGTCTTCTACATTTATTTATGGCTTCTCTTTTTTCCTTCCTTTCCCCTTGTTCTACTGTACCCCAACCTCCAACCCCCCTTTGGTTCCCTTTTATTTCCTAGTAAATTATTTTCCTTTTTTTTTTCTCTTAGGATACAAAAGCATTCCCATCTTTTATCCTGTAGTCCATGACCTTTAGCTAATGGTTACAGCACAGAAATGCCAGTTGGCGCTGCCTGGGGCAAGTGCTCTCTCCAGCCCATTTTCCTCTTGCTAATCATCTCAGCAAAAAGAGGTTAGCAGTTGTCAGAACAAAAGCTGCTCTGATTTTGGAAATACTTCTTAGCAGACACTAATACTTCTCTACAAGGCACTTACTTCTCCTCACAGGGTATTATTCCATTTTCCTTGTTTTTGCAGTATCCAAGTTTATTTCCTTTTTTATTTATCTTGTAACAGTTATCAGGGCTGGCTTTTGCCTCTGGGATCCAAAGTAATGCGATAAGAGTAAAACAATGCAAGCATGAAACACCTTGTTTTTAAAATAAATAATAAAATTATTAAATAAAACAATTAAACTTCAGTATCATGGTAGTGAAGTAAAATGTGATGAAACAGTCTTAGGAAACTATTGTATTGTTATAGTAGGCTATTTTAAGAAGGACTATAAATATGAATAAGTCATAAACACATCCTAGCCCACATAGTGAGCTCGTCAATCAACAGTTGAGGTAAGATCGATGACTGCTAAAGGCAGTATCAGGGAGTGCTAGGTCATCTTTTGGAAGAATGTGGCCAGTGACCAGCTCCAATTGGCCTCATAGGCCAACTGGACAGCTGTCTCTATCATTTACTTGTCTCTCACCGTCATTAAACAGCTCCTCACACTGATCATCCCGAGTGGGACATTTCCCCATAAAGCAGTAGCCCTTTGCATTCTTGCAAGGAAATCCATTTGCTTGGAATTGATCCTTAGGACATCCAGAGGAGACGCCAGTGCACATTTCAGGAAAATCACATTCATCTTTTGCGGGTCTGCAAATGGACCCTTCTTCTTTCAGCTGGTGAAGCAAAACAGAGACTGAAACTTGGATGCATTTAGGTATGTACAATTCAGTAAGTTGGAAGAAAGTTGATCGATTTAATTGATCTAAAAGTGGTGTGAAGGATGCATATGGTTTCCTTCTCCGTTTCTCTAGGAGTTATTATCATGTATAATGTTTTGACTTTTAGGCAACTTTAGGAGTGGCAAAACGGTGTCTTCGAAAGTTAGGGTTAGAATAGGCTGGGACAGAGTAGGAATAGGCATAAGATGGAGAAAGGAGGAAGTGTTCAACGTGTCCATCACCTCGTCTTCTTCATTCCTTGGTCCAGAACTTTGATTCCTTCACACTGGGAACCCCTGCCTATAAAGGAGAATCTGCATGCCCAGGAAATTTAATCTTTACATATGAGCTAGAGAAATAACCCTGGCAGTTACTGCTGGAGAGAACTCCATGGAAATATTCTCATTCAGCCACTCAGTGTGGACTCCACTGTGCTGGGCTCTGGAAAAATTTGAAGATGGTTAAGATATGCTTCCTTTCCTCTGTAATTACGCTCACAATCTGGTAGGTGAAAAAAGTGTCAACAAAACTTTGGAGCTAGCCATTTAGATTCTGGTCAGTTTTCCTTATGTTTAATTATTAGGATGCACATTTTACCTGACAAGATGCACAACATTCTCCTTCTGCACAAGTAAATCCTGGCTTCAACACACATTTTTGTGCATCACAGCAAGGATTAGTGCACTCCTGGCAATAATAGAAAAGTGAAGATCAGTAATTGGTTTGTAGTTTAACTCCTATTTGAACATTTATTTAGTAGTTGTGCTTCTATATTATTTAGCATTATCTATCTTTCAGAGTTAAAAACAAACACATAATCTTTGGTTATGATATGTGAATAAATTAAAAGCAAATACAACATACACACATATAATGCACACATATATAATGCTTACGAACAACACACATACAGCACATGTATACGTATAGCATATGTGTGTCTGTGTGTACACATGTGTGTATGTATGCATATATAGCAAGTGGTGTTGCAGTCTTTTTTTTTCTTTCACTAGGGCTGTTCAGTACTTCACAGAGAATGAATTCTCATTGGCAGCAAAGTTTAAAGTTTGTGACTTTCTCTTTTCCTGATGACTTCTACTGGGCAAACATCCTGCTGTTTTTTTTTACCCAGAAGGTTTGATAAAGCAACTTCTGAAGAGTTACTTTAACACTTTGTTAAAGATGTTAAGTATTTCAAGTTACCCTTTCTTTTTTATTTTTTTTAAAATACATCATTAAATAATAACAACAGCATGGATGCTCAGGGCTTACCTTCTCAAATGAAATGAAAAATGGAAAAAAAATATGTCAACACCTTGCTTTGTAAGCTACTTTATATATTAGAATAAATCTGGAGAAACAGGGCCTCCCCGGTGGCATAAAGGGTAAAAGCCCTGCACTATGCAGCTATCTGTAGCTACTGCAGCACAAGTTCGATTCCCGGCCAGGGAGCTGACCCACATGGCGAGGCAGACCTCTCCTGTCTCACCCACTGCTCCCCTCAGCAGTGTACTTCGTGGATCTGCCTGTTCTGCTCCCACTCTGTCTCTGGTGAACTCTTTCACCCCCAGCACTTCTGGCCTATATCCCAGTTCTTGTATGCATAAATAAATACATTCTGAAAAAACTGGAAAGTCATTTCAAAGAATGTGCAGAAGGAACAAATTCTCAGTTAAGACACTCTTCACATTTAAACTGAGACATTTGAAGGTTAGATCTTGTAACTTAAAGACTCATTGCTGTTTCCCCTCTGACTGGGAAAATCTTAATAAAAATCTTTTTTGGGCTTTTGTGGAATGCAAGTGTTGAGGCATCGATGCTACCATGCCGTCCTTGGGCCGGCAACATCAACATAACCCAGCAGCCTGAGAGGGATGCAGGGTTCACCCCCCATTCCAGACCTGCTGAGTCACAACACACATGTGAAAACAGCCACTGGGGTTTGGGGTGTGTGACAATGCGCCAGGCAGTCCTCTAGGATTTCCCTATGAGCTCCTGAAAATGCTGCTTCTCTGCTAGAGAAAAGCAAATTTAGAATGACTTTAATATGCAAGCTTATTTGAAATGTCTAGAGACCAATAAATATGTGAAGGTTAAAAGATTTCTGCTCAGGGTCCTTCCTGGTGGTGCAGCAGGTTAAAGCACTGCACTAAGAAACTGAAGCCACTTCTGCAAGCGTTAGATCCCCGCCTGCCCTGGAGGTGACCACGTGGTATGGCAGACCTCTCCTAGCCCACCCGCTGCTCCCCCCAGCAGTGTACTTTGTCAGTTGGCCTGTTCTGCTCCCCACTCTGTCTCTGGTGAAGCCTCTCACCGCACCTGCACCTCTGGCCTGTACCCCAGTTCTGTATGCACAAATAAATAAATCTTAAAAAAAAAAAAAGTTTTCTACTCAGTTTAAGACAGAGTTTTCTAATAACATGAACTGTCCAAGCGGGATATAATGCAGGCTCAGGGATCCTGAATAAACACCTGGTTGAGTGACTGTGAATGGGTTTTTAGATCAAATTCCGACTGTGATGAGAGATAGACATACTGACACCTTTGGGTCACTCTCAAAAGATGAGCCAATGACTGTTACGAGGCAAATGGGATGCCTGACTTTTCAGCAATGAGATCAGTATACATGATTCATAACTTGGCAAAAAGCTCTGAATTAGGCTGCACCAACATTATGTTTCTCAATGAGAACAAGAGAAGTTTTTTTCTTTTTTCAAAAATCCATAGTTATAGAGTAAGAGCAAATGCTAACAGAGATATGATACTTTATAACCTTATAAATATAAAAACGAATGCTTAAGGGAACTTTAAAGAATCTGATAAAAGATTTCATCAAAATAAATTTTCAGACTAGAGAATTGAATTGTAATTTAAAGCAAATCTCCATTGATAATTGGAAAGTTATCCAAGCTATATTTTTTCTTAAGATTTATTTATTTATGCTTACAGAACTGGGGTACAGGCTATGGGGTATGGGGGAGGGGTGGGTGAGAGGATTCACCAGATATAGAGTGGGGAGCAGAACAGGCAGATTGACAAGGTACACTGCTGAGGGGAGCAGCAGGCTGGACAGGAGAGGTCTGCCACACCGTGTGGGTCAGCTCCCTGGCTGGGGATCGAACTTGTGCTGCAGTGGCTTTGGAGAGCTTCATAATATGGCGCTTTAACCCATTTTGCCACCAGGGAGAGTTCCCAACCCCGAAGCTATTTTAAAGCTTTCCATTAGTTCAAATTCTACATTCATTCACAGCAGATTTTTTGAAAACTCTACAAGCAGCGCCATGTTGATTAATGCCTATATCCCTGCCTAGATACTAGATGAACATAAATTTTCTAACTGAAAAGCAACGTCATTTGGAAATACCTGTATAGGACCGCAATCACATTCTTCTCCCTCATCCACCTTCTTATTTCCACAATATGAGAGATCATGGAACTTAGAAAATGGCATATTGACCATGCACGTTGGTTTATAATCCTTCAAGTACTGCAGAAACTGGTTTCTGTTGCATTTACTGAATTTTAGTGCAGGAATGCTAGAGATAGGCGGAGTTTGAAATAAAGGTTAATCATGCCAATGTGTAGGGGTCGAACAGCTGTGAAAGTTTTATGAAGAATTTATAAAGAACAAATATAAATGTTGAAGTGTAAAGGCCCATTTACCTCTCTCACTTTACCTTGCTTTTATAGCAGAGTAATAATTGGGATCTTTACTAGTGAACTATCTTATTGAAATACAGTCAATGCTATAGGGAAAATCCTCTGACTCTACATCTTCCAGAAAAGTCCTTTCTGAAGCCCACAGTTCAGACTCCCAGCGCATGCTGCCCTCATATCACATTCACCTGTTGCTCTTGAGGTAATCTACATATTCATTAAACAGCCTTTCAAGATTATAAACTTCTCAATGAGGGAATGTAGCATGTTCAAATAAAAAATAGTGGGGAAGTAAAGTAATAAAATGTTAAATGCACAGAATACAGATTTTGTTAGATCATGAAAAGTCTTAGGAAGGGAAGTAAAGCAAAGGGAAATGGAGCAGATAATACTAGTGTATGTGTGTGAAGTGACAGGATTATAAAATTAGATCAGATCACTTGGGGAAGGTTTTCTTGAGAATGACATTTAAGAGATTTGAAGGAATAATTACAACTTACAGCACAGATGACAAAATAAAGTATACAGAGTATTTCCCTCCCCTAAGTTGCTATGTATAATTACTAACTGATTATCATGTATTTTTACAGTATGTCCAGATGGAGTTTTTGACATTCTCTCACCATATCACAGGAGAGACACTGTCAACTAATAAACTTTAATCCCAAAGGGAAACATCTTACCCTGCCTGGTTTTGCAGTAGACCTCTACTATACAATAGGAAAACTTCCACCTAGATCCACCATATCCCTACTCTATACAGCTTCAATCAAAAACCACTCTCAAATATTGAAATGTACTTGACAGGTTGTTTGAGCTCACCTTCCGCCGGTATCCATCACACACTTCCCCAAAGTGCAGGTACACGGGTAGTGATCATGCTGCATGCCCAGATTGTGCCCCAGCTGATGTGCCATTCTGCTCGCAACTATATTTAGATCAGGCAAAAGATCCTAGCGCAAAACAAAAAAATAGGCGTAGGACTTTCTACTAGGTAGCACACTATATACGTAGTGCTTTCAACTAATGGTTTGGAGACCTGGTTCCAGTTTTCAGTTAACTAGTCCTCAGTTAACTAATCAATTGTATTGGGCAGAGACAATAAAGGAAATAAATCCAAAGCTTTGTTTTCAAGAATTTGAGTGTTTATAGACTTAGTTAACCTCTTTCCTGAACCTCATTTTTTTTTAAATGATAGATAGTTGTGCCAATGACATTTCAGTATTGCTGATTCTAACATTTTGTGGCATAGTAAAAGTCATTGTTAGAGTTATATAGACTCATTCTTACAAATAGATAAAAAAAACAACTAATGTCCTATACAATAAAATAACATCAGTCCTTCTATAAGCCAGATATTCAAAGGAGGTCAAAATAAATAGATGTGAGGCTCATATTATTGATGGTAATCTAACACGTTCAGCCTTGCTATGCTTCTCATAGTTTCTACTCCTTGGAAAACGGAGGGTCAGGGATGTAAAATCCCTCACTTGTGTTTTAATCTCTGCATCAATGGCAGCAATTGATTTCCAAATACAAGTTGGATATTAAGTTACTATAAAGGGAAACACTCTGAATTGATGAGTTTGTCTCATTTGTATGTGAAATTTTAAAAAACATAGTTTATAATATCATAATTAGAGAGGTAAAAGTCTATATTAGATTGTATGGACTTCATTATGCAAGTTTATATTAATAAAATAGTATAGACTAAGGAATACTTATTTAAGATTGAGTTTTAGCAAGACTGGTTGAGCATAGCAACAACCAGGTAGAGGTATTGAAGGAGACAAATCCAAAACTTGATATTTTAAAGATACTTTTAGATAAGGCTACTTGGACAACATTTACTAGAAGCTTGGTAACATGGGAAAGATCAGGTAAGCCAGGGGAATCAACTGTGTGTGGATCTAATGCTTTCTGAAAAAGTGCTGTAAGGCACCCTTGATAGGATACACCAGGTGGTTTACACAATTCTTGATTCTCAGCACAAGAGCAATGACCTTCACTTGCTCAATCAGCCACCAAGCTTTGCATACAATATAAATAACTTATAAATAACTGCATTAAATATACAAAAAGTTCCTCCAAAAGAACTACTAATCATTGTATGTTAATATGTATCTAATGTCTTTAAACACCCAATAACACTGGTTTACCTTCATTGTTCATATAAAGTTTTTATAAATTTTTTTTTCATTTAATGAAGGAGACATGAGTTTCATCATGACCTATTTTGGTGGGAACATATGACAAGAATGTATATGTGCTCTTTTTCAAGAGAAAGTTACACAGACATTTAATTCAACTACTTTGCTTAAGTGATATAATATAAATCAAAAGAAGCCCACCTTAACGACACTTGAGGAGTAATAGGGCAGGCATATGCCCCCTGGGTAAGAAGTTCCTTGTGCATGTTTGTAGAGCCACTTGCCGCTGTGAACAGAGGCAAATATATTCTTCAATCTGAAACATTAGCTTGGTTAACACAAAGAGTGAATCACAATGAACTCCTAAATGCTAATGTCTCTGTGTATGAAAGCATCTTTTTTTTCTGGCATTCTGGAATTGAAGATGACCACAGTTGATATTAATGTTTTTTTTTTCTTAATTTGTGGTATATTAGACACTTTAAGGGCATTTAAAGAGATGCTAATTGACTCCATTACTCCAAAGTAGTTCTTCTATAGTTTAATATTCCTTAGGTTAGCAGGACTGTGTGAGCCACAGGGTTGACACAAGTTCAGTGATACTATTTTTTTAATCTTTTCCTGTTGGATAAATAAAGTGCTAAGGATGTTGAACAACAAAAATGATAAAAATGCCCCCTTTTTAGGAATTAGAATATATAGTATTCTAAGTAAATCCAAATCTTTTCTAGGAATGTTAAAAGAGTAGTTTTAATTATCAGATTCATTATTAGTTAACTTGAATAGTGGTGACATTGTTCTTGAAAGGCTGGTAGTACACACTTTGATGAGGAATGATGTCCAGAGAATGAGGTACTTTCCAGAAAGGTAGGCTTCCAAAAAGGAGTATTGACCCGGCATGTTATGGATGAGTGGGAGTAGTTAGTGTTGAGTGCTGAGCAATAAAGGAAATGGACTGTAACAACATTTTGCTTACTTAATGACATTTTCATTCTTGCCTAGCAAGAATGAAAGAAGAAGAATAGAACAATAGAAGAATAGAACATTTCTTCCCATCTAGAATGAATCACTATTAGAAAGATCATTAAAAAGCTCATTTGCAGGTCCTCCCTGGTAGCACAGCGGGGTAAAGCACAGCATTAAGAAGCTAAAGCCCCTTCCGCATGAGTTTGATTCCTGCCTGACCCGGAGGTGACCACATGGCGTAGCAGACCTCTCCTGACCCACCGCTGCTCCCCTCAGCAGTGCACTTCAATGACCTGTCTTTTCTGCTCCCCACTCTGTCTCTGGTGAATCCTCTCACCACCCCTGCACCTCTGGCCTGTACCCCAGTTCTGTATGCACAAATAAATAAATCTTAAAAAAAAAAGTTCATTTACACTTTTTTTTTGTATAGCTAGAATCAATGTTTTGTTTCATCCCTGTTCACTACCCAAAAGTCAACTATTTTAAAAAAAATGTTGTTGGCTTTGTTTCTCTTGTGAAAATACATAAAAGGTATGAGGAGAAATACAGTAGTTACATACCTGAGTAGCAGAACATGATCAAAATTCTTCTTTTTCTTAAGGACTACTTCTTGCCAAGCAGAAAAACGCATTAAGGTAGTTTCTAAATTTGCATCTATTTCTATCTTGTCTCCATTTGTCCACATTTCAAGGCCAACTAGTGTCACGTGAACATCTAAAGTTTTATAAATCTGTTCAAAGGAGAAAACATTATTCAGAAAGTCACATTGTGGAAGGATCTTTCGTCACTACTAAATTGTTTGCATTACAAAAGTAATTTTAGCGTGTGAGGTACATAGGTAAAAAAGCAAGACTTCATTTTACAAACTGCTGTATTGAGTCCTGGGAGAATTGCCATGGCCAGCAGAATCACATGACTAGAATCATCAGATTCTCCTTGAAACTACACGCCTCTCAGACACTGGGCTCAGGATACAGCTAACTAAATAATTTATTAAAACTGAAAATTATAACTGAACTAAAAAACGATTTTATTAACAATGGTAAATGGTGGAATGATGTTCATTATTCATTTGTTTGCTTTAGCAAGTGAGTTGCTTGTGGTAGGTCAGAAAGCTGATAGTGATATTCAAACAACACAAATTAACGTTCAAACTCTTCTCTATGTTTGATTTTTAGGAACATTTTGTTATCTAAGAAGTCTGATTAAGGATTGCTCAAAGCAGAAAAAACAGTTATAGCCAATATGTCTTCTCATTGTTTCCCATCTACTACTGCAAACATTTAATGATAGATACTTTGTATTTTTGCTAACTTTGGTGAAGGGAATATAAAGAACAAAAACTAGTCTTTATATTCGGCTCACTGTGAGGGTTTGTATATTCCTCTCACTGTTAGGATAGTGATAGACAATGAGACACAGGAAGTAGGAAACAGGTGACTTGGAGAGACAAGTATTCCACTTCAGATTGTTGCTACCTTTTATAAACAGTGATCAGAGGACTTTGAACTCCTATAATCCTAGATTTAAATTTGGGAGTTCTACTTCTGGCTAAGATGGACAAAGAGAAAGTCTCTAGTTACCAGTACATCCAATACTCACCTTTTTCTTTCCCCAGATGCATATGGACATTATTGAAGTGCACAGAATTGGCTAGACCAGATTAACCATAAAATAAACCCTGATATATGTGGAGCAATGGAATCAAATAATCATATTTTCTAAGTACAACAGATATAAAATTTGAAATCAATAACATAAAAATACATTAAAATTCTCTACTTGGAAATTAAATAACACAGTTATATAAAAAATAGTCATAAGGGACATTAGAAATATTTTTTATTGAGTGAAAATTGAAAATAAAATATGTGAGAACCAGTTAAACATATATAAGACTCAGCATTCTTGGTCATTAAAATAATGACCAAGTTTGTTTGCCCATACATATGTAGATAAATGGTTAGTGAAATTTTATTCATTATAATAAATAACTATAAATAGATCAAATATCCCTCAACTGGCAATTGAACAACCAGTTGAGGGAAACAATATTTCTCTCAGCATCTGTTTCAGACCCCCTTCATTTTAGTAATAGAATCAGGAAGAGTTAGAGGGTGGCATCTTACAAATGCATGTGAAATTCCCCTATTGCTTTTTTTTTTTTAAGTTGTAACTATTTCTATTTTAGTGAAGTTAATGATTTTAGTGCCTTTAATTGAAACACATCCCCCGACTGCTAGTTTACTAGGTGAATGTTCATCATCTGAACTTTTTATGAATGAGGATCATCACAAAAATCCAGCAGATGTCTATTTTAAAAAGTTCTTTCTATTTGTATTTTTATTTTAATTCTAACATAGCAAATCTTACCATGTTGATATAATTAACCATTCCCCAAACACGATTCCTGAGGTTACTGTGATGATTATTTCTGCGATACTAGAAATAGAAACAACAGATCAACATCCATTGATATAAGGAGTTGAATAAAATCTCAATGAAATATTTCACTATAGTAAATTATTTCAAAACAAATATCATCGGCATTCCTTTCAGTGGGCTCATCATAGTGGAGTCTATGCCGAACAACAATGTTTGACATAAAACAACCAGCACAGCACAGCAGCAGTTTCTAAAGACATGCTTCAACGTGGCACTTCTTTAAACATTTCTTTATAACTTAATTCCACTTGTATAGCCCGTTATATCACACTGATTTAGTAATCCAATTGTTAGGTGTTCTTTAGGGTCCCTATTTGGCAAATTGATGAAACGAAACTTAGGAAGCTTCACAGCAACCACTATAATGTAGATCACAGCAATGTAACCGTCTCCTGTGTCCAGGGAGGTCACTGACCGAGGAACACATACTTCAGGATGCACTGAGAGAGCAGAAAATTGTGACTCCCCTTTTCCCTGAAAAGACTCCATAAGTGAAACCTACTCTCCTGTTCCAATCTTTTCTATTTTTTCGTTTTCTTCCTACAAATGAATTGTTTCACTATCAGTGTTATCATTTCACAACATTTTCAATTTAGACCTCATAAATGACACTTAATAACACAACGTATCTTGTAGGAGTAATGCAAATAATCAGGTTTATCTTCAAAAGAAAAATCAAAATAAACATGTTCTTTATGAATCCTGTCAGAATCCTTTAGTTTCATTACAATTTTCTTTTCAAGGAGAGGCTACCCCGTATGGCTCTTGGCATTATAAAATAGATTCTACATATTGTGATTAACTAAACCTTTGGCTTTTACTCACTGCTATGGCATATGTTCTTCATTTTTAGCACTTAGAGATTCTCTGATTTTTTTAGACTCTAAACTGTGAACATAGTCTAATTTTTATACACTGTTCAAACATTTGCACATGTTCACGGTGGTTTCCATTTGGCCTTGATTTGCTATACCATAAAAAGGGCCATGCCATCCCTCAAGTTACGGTCTAGGGAAACTGAAAACAGCAATTTCAGCTGAGAATGGAACTCTGTTAGAATCACAACTGTTGTTTTTTTTATAAGGTTGAATGAAAAATAAATATTGAAAACTTACCACACTATCATCAGCAACAATGAACAGTTCAACATACTTTTCTTTATCGATAATCTAGAAATTTATGAAAAATTTAATGAAGTATAGTAAATATTCTCATTTTAATATTTTAAAATATTCAAGTTGGAAATCCTATTAATAATGATATGGGAAATTTAAGTCCAGAAATATATCAAATAATCTTAGGCATTCATCTGAGTAAAAACATTGTATTATTAAAATATGCGATCCTATATATCAGATTTTAATAAACTTGAAACAATATCCCATATCTGATTATTGTTCCTTTACTTATTTATTATTTCAAGTCAAATAAGAGCTAAAAATAGGGCCTTCCCTGGTGTTGCAGCAGGTTAAAGTGCAGAACAAATTCGATCCTTGGCCGGGGAGGTGACCCACATGGCTGCAGCTGCTCACCTCACCAACTGCTCCTGACCCGCCAGCTGCTCCTGATCTGCTAGTTGCTCCCACCTGCTGCTCCCCTCAGCAGTGTGTTTCAGTAGCTCTGCCTGTTCAGCTCCCCATTCTACTTCTGGTGAATCTCTCAACCCCTGCCCTTCTGGCCTATATCCCAGTTCTTGCATTCATAAATAAATAAATATTTTTTTAAAAAAGTTAAAATTACTATTAAAAATACTATTAATCAGTTTGAAACATTTTTCCCATTTACAAAGTAAATGCTCACAAGGCACAGGCCTGTGAAAAACATCCACTTGTAGCTGAGTGCTAGATACAGGAGTGGGTTTAGCACTGGCTGTGGCCTTCCTGCTCCTCACACTCTCTCCCAATTCCCTACCCTGAAGTAGTCTCAGTTCTAAGGGAAAGTATGTCCAAGTTGTTAGTTAAATATCTGTATATATAAAACTAATGCCAAGAAATTCTAAGTTTCCAACTCTCAGAATTACTCATTGAGTTACATACATATCCTCTGAGCAAAAACCAGAGATAAAATTCCAATATTGGACTTAGCTATTTCTCATTCTTTTATGCACTAAAATAATCATCTCTCAATTAACTTATAAATCAAAAAAACATAAATTAAGCACCTAACATATTTCAGACATTGTCTGAACCTTGACTATATTAAGAAGATGAACATTCATGGTATTTAAAAGCTAACGAACTAGTTGGATCTTAATGGAAGATGAACTCATTGTATAGAAAAGCTTAAAACACAGAGGACTTTCATTATGGAATCATCCTTCCAGAGCTGAATTTAGTAGTTTTAATTATCCTCAACATTAGAATACTTGACCTTATGAAAGAATGAACCTGGCTTATCATGGAAAAAAAAAAAAAAACTCCCAAAATGGTAAAGGTGACAAAGATATAAAATGGCTAGGATAGACTCTGAGATGGTAAGTTTCATTCTTTCAAGTCAATTATAGGTTTAATGCAGTAAGTCTTTAGGTAGCGTTATAGACATCCTCTTCCTGAAATTATGGGCAGCTGAGATTTCCTGTAGGGAATAAGCACATTCTATATAGATCATAACAAAAGTTTGATATTTGAGATGTAAAGCAATAAAGAATCAGACTCAGCATGTACATTTCATTAGTAGTCTCATAATCTCTTTTTCAAGATTATAAAAGAAATAAGCATTTCAGCTGGGGTAAAGAAAATTTTAAAATAAAATACTCACTTCCATTTTTGAGTCATCCATGGATTTAGTATTATCCTTTGGAACTTCTGTCCTGGTAAAATTGAACTCTGTACAAGAATGATTGGCAACATACTGTGTCTTGGGGTTATATTTGAAAACCAAATGTTCTCCATCATCTGTGTATTTTACTGGTTCAATGAGGTATCTTTGGTCATAGATCCTGAAGAATCCCCTATGGAAATTGAGAATAAAATAAATATATACCCAAGATTTATTCCACTTATCAACTACTTTACTACACAATAATGGTCCATCCAATTTTTATTAACTTTATCTTTTTAAGAAAGGGGAACTAAAAGATTACAACTTTATGAGCATTCGGCCAATTATATTGTATGATAAAGAATGACATGATATGAGATCATTGATTGAAAAGTAAAGCTTAATATGCTTATTAGTAAAGCTTTGTATGATGCTATTCATCTGGATTTTCAGAAGTTTGACATCCCAATCTCTACTTTGGCAGTTAGGTGGAGTAACAATGGCCACTTGGGGTTGTAGGCCCTTGGTAAGGCCAAGTTTCTATTATGCATTAATTACAGAGTAAATGTGTTAAACTATTATATGAAAATTATATGAAAATTTTATCTTTAGAGGGTTTCTTCTTCTTGAAAAATATTGGGAACTACTTAAAATGAAGTCCTTATCAATGAAAACACAAGTTTTTTTCCCTTTTTCTTCTCACATCTTCCTCTTTTTTCCTTGATCCCAATATTTAAAAAAAAAAATATACAGAGGCTTTATTCCTGACTTTTTTTTTCTTATAGCCTGGAAACATTGCGTAATTTAGTGAAAATTTGTGAATAATCGTAGTGTAGGAATTCACAGGATTAGAAATCAGAAGAACTGGTTTTTTCAACTTAATTCTATGACAATTAAATTTTCATAGAATTAAATGTCCAGGAGTAAGTCTCTGATTTCAGTATCCTTATCTATAACACAAGAGGATAGGTTACCAAGATCCTTCTTTCTAGCCCTGAATCTTTTCCTCATTTACTGCAAAACTTGTCTTGCTTATGGTTGTGCATTATATATCTTTTGGTCAAGGAACTAACAATGGGCTGGAGCATATGCTCACATTGACAAAATATGGCAGATTTTCCTATCTTCCAGTGTTGCTCAGAAAAAAAATAAGTGAAGTGAACATCTGGGAAAACCCATAAGAAAACTCATGATGGAAATAAAAAGGTACTGAACATTACCTTAGACCATTACACGTGCTGATACTAGCAGCTGAATCAAGTTCATGGATGATAGATCCTTGGTAAAAGCAGTGCTCCTAAAATTATTGAAGAGGCTATTGACATAAATGCATATGTTGACATGATATAAATACTAATATCTACATAGTTTCTATTCAGAATCATAGGTATTCGTTCTTACAACTTACACTTATTTTTATTCATGCATTCATTGATCATGCATTCTTTCATTTGGAAAATTTGGAACTATTTTAGAATCCTTTAAATCACATGTTTACTTTCTGTGAAGCAATGTATAGATTATTTCCTCACAAATTGAGCCAACTTTTAGTTCATGATGCCAGTCTCCAAAATGGGACACTCTTCCTTAAAAATATCAGTTACTCCATTTTAAATCTTTACAAAACCAATACTCCTGTGCTATTATAATTTTTCCGTAGTTGCCTATGAAATCAAGTCAAAATTTTTGATGATCAGTAAAATTACGTCTCATTCTCCAATCAGGTTCCATCATGTCATTCACTCCTTTTTCTGCTTAGTCAAGTTAGGTTCTTCACCACCGCTACCTGGTAACTCCATCAAGTTATTTCTCTTTTCATTATTTGCATCTATTCAGCTCTCTTGCTTTGTTTCCATGGCCTTCCAGAAACCTCAGACCCTTATGTGCTTGTAATGATCTCCTGTATAATACAATATTATATAATTTTCCTTCTGTCCTATTTTACACTGGTTGCAGGGTGGCTTAAAATTCACTGTTGATGCCTGCCTTAAATGAGGAAATGGGTTTAAAAAGGGCACTTTTGGGGCCCTCCCTGGTGGCGCAGCGGGTTAAAGCACAGCACTGAGAAGCTAAAGCCACCTTCGCATGAGTTCGATTCCCGCCTGCCGCCTGCCCCGGAGGTGACCACATGGCGTGGCAGACCTCTCCTGACCCGCCCGCTGCTCCCCTCAGCAGTGTACTTCGTAGATCTGCCTGTTCTGCTCCCCACTCTGTCTCTGGTGAAGCCTCTCACCGCCCCTGAGTCTCTGGCCTGTACCCCAGTTCTTTATGCACAAATAAATAAATCTTTAAAAAAAGGCACTTTTGGCAAGAGAGAACAGTGTTGTCCCTCAGCAGAGAACATGGCCCAGAAGGGGGAGTAAATTTATAAAAATGAGTATGTATCCTACTGGATACATTTATGACAAATGCACAAAGATTTGGTTAGGAAATGAAACCCCTTGTTTCAGGACCTGAGAAAGAGGATGTGAATCACACAAGGGTCAAGTAGATGGAGGTTTTAAAATTGTTTCATATATTTAGGTACCACCCATTTCATTGCGTTATAATCTCATCAGTGTTCCTTATACTTCTTTGGAGTTCTGCTAGGTCATATTTTATATTCTAGGACCATTCTGTGTTGGCAGTCAATGAAGGATTAATTTCTGGTCTAACATGTTTTGATGCTGCTTGTAAAACTAGAATCAGGTTTCAAAAATCACATGAGGAAATACACAGATGAGACACAGGAAGGTTCTATAAGATACCGTCGTTTGAGGATGCTTGGTGATCTCTCCTTTTATGGAGTAAAATGTTTCGCTGTAATTTGAAGCAAGGAATTCCCTGAAAAAGAAGGCAGAGAGATATGAATTTCTGAAGAATTAGGAACAGATTAAAAACATAAATAAGATCAAGTTTCTACTATCTCATTGTATGAAAATATTTGAATGAATAAAACTCACAGATTTGGGAGGCTCTGGAGTTTGCACAAAAATAATTTATTTCATGGAACTAAGGGTACTAGGTTAGTATTGCCTACCAGAGATGTCAACATCAGGTCAAACTTCTGTGCATAGCAGGGCTGGGGTATGTTTGCCCAAAGGAAATCGTTGGACACAACACTCAAAAGTGGTGAAGAGCAGAAATAAATCTGAGGGCACTGGAACTTCTTAAGTTAAATAAGACAAATTGATGAAGTAAGGTCTTCCCAGTTTTTAGTTTACTCTCCAAAAAAGCTATTTTATGTCTATTTTAAATAATTTAAGTGACTTTTAGAAACTACAGTTTTCAATTTTTTTTATTCCACTGATTCATAATGCAGTGTTGTATTAAGTCTCTTGTCAGAGTGATTATACAGAACTCCCAGTATCTAAGTAGGCAATGACTCAGAAACTGGAGAAGAGTGACCAGCATGGTTAAGTTATTAAAATGAGATGGGCTTCAATCAAAAGAGTAAGTATTTAGACTGTCTATCGATAACAGTGACTTGAGGGAATCCCTTTACTGGCAGCTTTGTGAAGCTGATATACAACAGACTACTAAATCTATGAAGTGTTAAGTCATGGTAGAACTTACCTTGATCTTAAAAGGTGAAGTATTAAGATTTTCCTATTCATTTTTAATTCATACAATAATTCTTCTTCATAAGTTTCCTGGAAAACAATAGCCATCAAATGACGTAAATGTATGCTCATTTTGTATGTGTTTTGGGGGGTGGAGAGGAAACCACCACTCCCACCGGCTACCCAGAAATGATTCACCAGGAAAAATGATAAATATGGACAAGCGGAATTTGTATGAGTGCTGGTATATGGAAGATTTTGCTTTGAGCCATTTTTTTTTCTTTTGTTAATAAAATTTTATTAATTTACCCTTAGTTTATAATGCTATAAGCTTTGGGAGTATGAAATTTAATGGGAAATTTTTCTAGTTATAAAATAAAATGAAAAAAAAGGCATATTCTCCCCTTATTCCGAGATATAAACATTATTAAATACCCCTGAATTATGCCCACAATGGATCTTTTGCTCATGTATTTTTTAACAGCATCACATAGACTGTTTTATTATCTACTTTTTCACATAAAAATAAACCATGACCATTTTCCTATTCCCATAAATGTTCTTTTACATTATAGCCCAGAAGAACAATGTGAACTTATTTGACCTATGTTTATATCAAAAATTGATGTGGGGTATTCATTGCAGCTAGAATTTCATTATCAAAGACATGGAAACAATGGAACGTTTTGGTAAATACAGATTGTGCTGAAGAAAAAAATAACAATTTAGAATTTCACCAGCAATTTATAGTGATTCTTATTTCCTTGTTTAGATATTAAGAAAATTTTTCATGTAATAAAATACCTTATTGTAGTGAATTCTTTGATGAAAATTGGTATTGGTGTTTTTCTTTTGTTTAGTTATTTGTAGTTATCTAAATTTCTAATGTACATATTTTTCAACATTTTTTTCTTTTGTGATATATTCTTTATGGTTCATGAGAATCCCTTGTAACTTAAGGCACACAATTGTTGATCATCTATTTTACCCATTTCTGTATTTCATTGTTTCTCAAAGCTGTTATTACAGGCACAGTGATAAAATGGAATAAAATGGGTACAAGATGGCTGTCACTGACCTCATGAAAGTCACAGCTCAACAAAGAAGTAACCAGAAAACCAGACATGTAACTGAATGTTAGAACATCATATTAACAGAAAGGCAATTCCTGTGTCAAAGAAGTTACAAAGAGATGATGCAAGAGACTCACTTGCCAAAGTCCTGATGTAGGGAGCTCAGCATGCTTATGGGGCAGAGAGAATTTCAGTGTCATTCAATTTTGTTGAAAACTTGAATGTAAGTGGTGTTGAAATGACAAGTGAAAAGGTAGGAAGGAACCAAACATGTAGAACCTAGTAAATCTTTTTAAAGGATGTGGACTTTATCCTAGAGCAGAAAAACAAAGCAAGAGTTTTTGATGGGAAAAGTGCCCAAAATAGATGCTGTATTTTGATGACTTGGATAAGCAGATGGATAAGCAGAAATCACAACAGCAGGTAGGAAAGGCAGTTAAAGACTATTGATTAAATTCAGATGACTTGGAGAGAGAGCTGGCAGCAGGAATGAGCAAGAGCAGATCATTTGAAAGGACAGTTACATTCTGAATGTACCAGGGTTAGTGATTACTTGATGCAGGAGACAAACCAAGACTTAACTCAGGTTTCTGGTTTGTTTGCTCCATTAACTAAAACAAACAAACAAAAAAGACCTTCTGAAGTAGGGCAACTTGGAGAGAGGGCAGAGGGGAGTGTTGTACTTGTTGAAAGTGTGGTGTGTATTAGGGATCCTTTCTGTTGCAAGTTGAATACAAAATTTGAACTTTTTTTGATAAAGATCGAGTTCACAGGCAAAGCCAGGTGCTCAATAAAATCAGAAAGGTTGAATCTCGTTTTATAACATGATGAAACATCATGTGTAGTGTGTATGAGTGTGTCTATGTGTATGTAACAGGAAGACACAATGAAAGGTTTGGAAATTCAGTGTTTCACTATTAATGTTAACAAACTGCATGCAATCAGTCAAGGGTTTACTATTTTTAATATTGTTACTATCGTTTTAATAAATAGAAACAATGTTTTATTTTAGAATATTACTGTTTAATTTTGATTTTGTAATCATGTTATCAAAAAGATAAACTGCAAATTCAGAGAATCCTCATACACGTTGCACTCAGACTTCCTGCTGCTAACATCTTATGTTTCCGTGTGTATGTGTCAAAACTAATAATACCCAGTTGGTATGATCAATTAAAGTTCATATTTGCTGAGACTTCCTCTTTCCTCCCCGAAAGTCCTTTCACTGTTCAAGGATCTTATCTGCACTCTATTCAGTCATCCTATCTCCTAGATTCCTCAGTTTCTCATGTTACTTATTTTTGATGCCTGGCAGTTTTCAGGAAGACTGATCAGTGCATATTCCAATTTGAGTTTTTCTGAAGTTTTTCTCATGCTTAGACTGGGATGGTAGAGATTTGGAAATAAACACAAGATATGCCCCATATTCACATCATACCAAGAGTACATATTAACATGCTTATTTTTGATGATGTTGACCTTGATCACCTGGCTGAGGGGACGTTTGCCAAGTGTGACGTCACATGCGTTTCTCCTGACTTCCTGCGCTCACTGAAATGAGGTTACCAGGCACAAGTATACACAGTGGGGGAGTTGTGCGCCACCTCCTGGAGAGGGGAGGATCTACATTCATTTCTCAATTCTGCGTGGGACTTTTGTCTATTAATATAGGTTCACAGATTCAATTTATAATTTATGTCATAGTCCGAAGTTATAGAATTAATTTTGGTTTTTGGATTGTCCTATGCTCTTGATTACACTTTCCATTGTTCTTGTATTGTTCTGATATACTCCCATCAGTGTGGATGTGGGATTCGGAGATTTGTTGGTTTAAGAACTTCCTTATTTTTAAGGTACAAAAGATATTTCAAGCTTCTCTTGTATATTTTCTGCCCTTGTCCAGGATTACAGTGGGACTTTCAATATAAGTATTGATTCGTCTTAAGACACTTGATTCTCGAAGAAGCCCCTCTCCCCCACCGCCACCAGTCTGGCAACAGTGGTGGTAAAAACTTGGTTTAATCCTCTTAATTGAGTACAGACCTCCAACTAATAAAATTTAAAGGAAGTGAGAAAAATTGCTAATTAAGAAAAACTTTGACAAGGATTACTGAATAAAAATGGCTAGATATTATTTCCAAATCAAAGCAGGTAAAGAGCCTATCTCGAGCTTAAGAGAACAAGTCTCAACAGGACTATTGGGGAAGCTGAAATGTTCTTACTTTTTCTGAGAAATTTAAAAAGCGAAAGCCGAAAGTCTGCTTCCTCTGAAGAAGAATAACCATTGCACAGGGAAAGATGAACCATTTCAAGGAGTGCTCAAGTAAAAAGACACTCAGTATTTTCCATGAGCTGAATGATAAACTTAAACTCAAAATGCAAGTAAGTGCCCAATAATAAATAACTAAGGTTTTTGTAAACCATTGAAAAAAATCTAATATTGAAACTTGTTTGCATTATGGGTATTACCTGTTTTCTATACTCCACATTTATTATTTTGAAAATAATTTTTTAATGCTTTAAAATGTTAACATCTCAATAAATACCTAAGCAACAGGTCAAACAAGACTTTTTGTTGTTGTGAAGGTTGTTCAAGTTTACCGCACAATCTGTAAGGCAATAAACTTGCATAGCATCTGGGAAAGCAAAATGCTCAGATTGCCTTCCGTGGGCACCAGCGTAAAACAAAAGCGGTTTGTCTTAAGCCTGCCTGGAAATCTGCCTGGAGGAGTTAATAAAACTCTTCACACAAACCGGGCAATTCAAAATGGCGCCCCGTCCAACCTAGGCATCACTCCTTTCGTTTCCTAGTTTGTAGATGGGTTGCTTCCCCTCTCCCCACTTCCCAGGCACTGCTTCAAACAGAGTTTCTCCAGAAAACTGAGACTTCTGTTTTGTTTACTTCTGATCAGACCAGAGGTTGCATCCTACACACCCGTAAAGGCCCCACATCTTATTTATCCCATCAAGGCCTGTACCTCTATGTCATAGTCATGGCTGTGCCCCACATCTCTCTTCTGCATCAAGGAGAGTTTTCTAGGATAAACCAGTTCTTGACCCTCTACTCCAAGGATGGCCTTTTCTAAAAAGGAAACAAAAGGGGGAACAACATACCTGGCATTAACATCCACCCTCAGTGACTGGACAG